ATTCCTTTATAGAATATTTAGTATCCATTCAATTTTATGTATAAACTTCACATGCATGTAGTATTTTCTGGATAGGATAATTAGGTTTTTGTTAGAGACTACAATATTGAATATTCGCCAAAGTATGGTGCAATCGGCTTGTTTATAGATGTTAGTCTTGCCAAAGCCTGTGCACCAAGGTCAGAGTAACTTGCATCCAAATTCCACTCTCACAATTAAAACCTTACTAGAAGGACAATGTAATTGCAGCCATATATTTTGTATATTCTATTCCTAAGTTGTGAATGCTGTGTCTTGTATTTTACAAGCCTTGCTTATATTAATTTCCCTAGAAAGTTCATGATTTTGCATCCTTGCACGCAATTCTGCCCTTGCATATAGTGCACCTTTACCCCAGTTGATGACCAATAAAAATCAGTGGCTTGAACTAACCAGTGCCTTTGTTGGTTGTACTGGTATTGGTCATCCCGGCATCCTGCTTTCAGTCTTTTAGTTCTGTCTTTTAGGTCTTTTTTTCTCCCCTCAAGCCTATGGCATACACTGAGTAACAGAATGGAGCCTATTGCAGGGGTCACCAGTAAGGTTTTATAGTTGCGAATAAATGCAAACTGTTTTCTGTCTTCCCAAGACTTTTAAGAGAAAGAATTAAAGTTAATTTCAATAAACATACATTTAATCATTTACAGCTGTTCCTCTTTATTTTGATATTAAGATCACATCACATATATGAAAGGCATATTTTATTTCTGTCTTATCTTCATCTGATGAAGATTTCATGCATTTTATTCCTGTGATACTTAGTTCCATTGTTTCAATTGGAATGGGTCCAGTTACTCTGCATTTTTCTGTATATGTGGTTTTTAGTTGACATTAATATATAAATTGGTAAACTTTGTTTAAAGCACATTACCCTCTATCATGTGTGAAGGACACATTGAATCAGTTAAAATTCTTGACAGAAAATGCCAATCTCTCCCCAGAAATAAGAAATTCTGCCAGCAAAATGACTACCTCTGGACTCAAAAAGTAACCTTTCTCTGAATGTTCAGCCTGCTGGCTTTCTCATCTTATTTTTGGATTATTAAAAATAAGCTCATTTAGTTTGTATATATAGATTACCCTTGACTTATGTTTTTAGTATACTATTTTTATTATATGCAGTGAAAAATGATTCAAATTCAATCAAAGTGATATTTTGAACATAGAATTTTGAATATTTCCTATTTTTGCAGTATGATATATGATACTACATCAAATTCTGGGACAAAGGATGGTAAAACTCCCAGTTATTCATATAAAATGTGTGTGTGTGTGTGTGTATGTGTGTGTGTGTGTAATATAGAAAAATATATAGAGAACAATGTACACAGAAATACATATATATATTTAATATAATTTCTCCCAGAAGCATTAATGTCTCCAAATAGTAACAAAAATGCTAGCAGAGATACATTAATTTGCTCAAATTATTCTCTGAAAGCACATAAAGTGTATCTGAAGATGTGTTTTTTTCTATAGAATGGAGTACTACTCAGCCATAAAGAATGATAAACTAGAGACATTTATAGCTAAATGGATGCACATTGAAACTATACTCTTAAGTGAAATAAATAGAACACACTTGAGTAAATACAAAACAGTTTCTCTTGTGTGGAAAACTAAAAGTGTAAATAAGATTTAAATGGCATAATTGAAAGTGCGAAATAGCAAGAAAATGGCTAAAGGTGAAGTAGGAAGAGGAGGGTAAAGAGAATAAGAGAAAAGAAAAAAATGTGAAAAAAGGAAAAAAATAGAAACAAAATCTTTGTAAATAGGGAAAGGTGTAGGGGTGAAGGGAGGGCAAGGGTATGGAGAAAAAATTGTGGCGGTCCAGCTGTCACATCACGAACATGCCTGAGTTGGGGAGTGAGGATTAAGAAAGGAAACAACACTCAAGCCTGAGTGGAGACCAAGAGAAGTCTGATTTATTTCACAGAAACAGCTCCTTTTAAAGGCACATCAACAGGAAGTACCTGACTCCTACAGATAACATCAGATCTTTGGCTATCTACCTCTTGGAGTTTCTCCCACACAGGGTCAAAAACAAGTTTAACACGTGCAGTCCTTGAAAAGGAACAAATGTTAGCAAATGCTACTTAGGATCATCCTGACCACATTGTGTCAATGCCTTGATTATAAAGAAAGAAGTTGTCTTTCAAATGTCAAATGCCAGTGGGCCATGACTGGCTCCCACATCTCCCCCTTTTTATTATATTTAGAGCAGGGACGTTCCCAGCTCAGCAGAAAGGCTGTGCCTATCTTAGGTGAGAAATGTCCAGAGAAATCCCTTACCCGTCATCAAGCCATAAGAAATGTAATACTCATGCTCTGTCTTAGGTTGGTTGTTTCTCCACAATTCTCTTACCCGTCTTTGACTACCAGCCTCTGCAGGGGTTATACCATGCGTTGTGAAGGCCTTACATATAGCTTTCTCTACCTCTATCAATATTTGTAAACCTTGATCTTCATACCAGGACTCATTAATTTTTACAGGCATCATTACAAAGGGAGGTTGTCTCAAAACCATCACAGAATGAAAGGAAGTCATCATTTCTGAGAATATACAATTGGTCAATTTACAATTAAAACAGCTGATATTATATTCATTATCAGGTTCATAAACAATCTCTATATTTCCTACTAATAACATATAAGGAACATTAACACAAGACATTATTGTCTTTTTCTTTCCCTTGAGATAAAACAGTATTTATGGTATTTCATGTATTAGAGGCCCCATGCCAAAAACATTCAAAACTAAGGTTAGTAACTTTGACATCTGATCATAAATGTATTTCTCCCAATGCAGCAGCCAAGTTTTCAAATGTTGTTTTGAGAAAAAGCTGAATCTATCCACCAAAGTCCTGCAGATAAGCTTAAGTCTATGGAATATTCGAGTGACCAGTCTAAAAACTTTTAAGATGTCTCATTAAATCACCAGTCCCATTAAATCCTTGATTTGGATAATGAAATTTCCGCTTGTGCAACAAGACACATCCTGGAGTTTTCTCTACTGCTTCAGTGTTGGGGTCCCAATCTAGCCTCCTCAGTGGAAACCCAGATTCAAACTGTTCAGGCATAGTGGTGGGTCTATAAATGTACCTATAACCATAAGTAGGTAGAGCAGAAGAGATAGGAGAATACCTGGACCAAAAGGTTATTATCATGAACAATATGCTGGAAAACCTGTGTAGTCAAATAATATAAATACATATTGTATACCAGAAAAGTAGCAATAATAATTATTAGAATTATATGAAATCTTATGTCCTGTAATGTAGCTTTGTATCAACAGGATCTTCCTTTTTTTTAACAGAAATTATATTTTGAAGATAACCATCATAAACATGTTACAATAACATATTTAGAATTCAGCCTTTTGATGATAACCAATGTAAACATTTTTAACAACGTATTCAACAAGGCATATCTTTTCATAAGGCTATGAAAATTATTTGGGTGGCTCCCATTAGTGAACAAAGACCAGAATAAATTTTCTGAGCAGCTGCTTCTTTATTTACCAACAGGAGTGTATCCAAACTTAAAGGTTTATATTTAATTATCTTTTAAGTTTTTTACTTAATCCCATAAAGCCAGGTTGTAGAAATCAACAATCTATTTGTATTTGATGTCAGTTTGATCAAAAACATAATCAGACAAACACTTAGACAGACAAACATATAAGATAATTTAAACGAGTGCACTCAGATGGTTTTGGCCAATTGAATTATAAAATCTTTTAGTTACAACTAGTCAAAACTTTTGCAGGTCAAAATTAACAGAGATCCCATAGGGTTAAAGGAATAAAAGCTCTTCTTGAATGTAAATTTAAACCTTTCATAACAAACTTTAAACCAACAAGCAAGCATAAATAAATCATTTCCACACACCTTCTCTACATACATAGGCCTTCTGGTCTTGTATATCTTTCTTTACCTGTTTTTAGCAAGACGAACATACAAAAACCTTTCATGTCAAAAGTATAACTCTTACTTATAGCTTTCCTATTCCTAATATTTTTCTGTCTCATTTACTATTAAACTTCTATAACAAACTTCAGCTTAAAGTGTCATTTTTCTGTTTTCAGATTGTTACATTTTAAAATTTGACTGGCTGCCAATAGAACAGTATTAACCTTGAGTTTTTAGAAAAGAGCAAGTTAACCCTATAATCACAGTTTAAGAATTTGTAATGCACAAGAAGTGTTATCAAAACTAAATAGTTTTTACTAGCAGCTGACTGTCACAGAGCAGTTTGATCAACTCCTAGGCTGGGTTGTTTTGAAATCTCTTTAATTATGGGGAATCCAAGGTCAGCTACAGTCTGACAGACCTCCTGGAAATGGTTTAAAGTCAAGGTGAGGGGGTAGATGAGCTCCCTCCCATTTTATCAGAAAATTCAATATAAGCAAACAGACAAACATGGGAGCAAAAGAGGCCAAACAGAATGTAAGACAAAAGCCTTACAAAAAGCACACCAAAGAAGAACCAGAGACTCTGTTGGGGAATCCCCTTAATCTCTTCTTCCAAAAACAGAAGAACTCTCTCTCTTGACCAGAGGGTCTTGAAGAAAGGAAAAAAAAATCAACCTCCCTCCCCATAAACAGAGACACAGAGTTCCTACCAGAGGGGCAAAGGACCTCTCCGGCCCCTGCAGCAGGGAGTCCACTAGCACGTCTGCCTGGACCTCCTTCCCTGCCTCCAAAATGATCCGGATCACAAATTACAAATTCAGACATTAACAGGAAAAGAAAGACACAGAAGCAAAGAAAAGGAAACCAAGGACAAACTATTTCTACAAATTCTAAAAAATTACACAATTGCTGGTGCCCTACTCTAGCACCACCAACATGCAATTAATCTTTAAGTATGTGTACAAAAAGCATGCAACTATTGCCGGCTCCCATTTTTAATATTTACAAGAAAATTCACCACTCCTTACCTTTTCGTTGAGCCCTCCTTCTTCTCTGCGGTGTCCTTCACTGGATCCCTCGATACTCAGGTGCCTGTTCGGGCGCCACTTGTGGTGGTCCAGCCATCACATCACGAACATGGCTGAGTTGGGGAGTGAGGATTGAGAAAGGAAAGCACACTCCAGCCTGAGTGGAGACCAAGAGACGTCTGATTTATTTCACAGAAACAGCTCCTTTTAAAGGCACATCAACAGGAAGCACCTGACTCCTACAGATAACGTCAGATCTTTAACAGGAAGCACCTGACTCCTACAGATGACGTCAGATCTTTAACAGGAAGCACCTGACTCCTACAGATGACGTCAGATCTTTAACAGGAAGCACCTGACTCCTACAGATAACATCAGATCTTTGGCTATCTCTTCAAGTTTCTCCCATGCAGGGTCAAATACAAGTTTAACATGTGCAGTCCTTGAAAAGGAACAAATGTTAACAAATGCTACTTAGGAACATCCTGCATTGTGTCAATGCCTTGATTATAAAGAAAGAAGTTGTCTTTCAAATGTCAAATGTCAGTGGTCCATGACTGGCTCCCACAAAAAATAAGAACCAAGATACATCATGAAAAGGTACAAGATCCCAATGATAAATTTGTGTATTATTTGATTTAAATATGCCAATAAACTTAACTGTGGGAAGAATATCTGATGAGAAAAGCCACTGCCAGTGGATACAGTAATCCCAAGGAAGGCCTTGTTGGCTGCATACGAGTGGAGTCACCAAAGCCCTTCCTATCTTACTGTCCTGGATGTGGAACTTCAGGATTTAATGTTTTTTTGTTTTGTTTTTGAGTTTTGGTCTTTTTTTTTTTTTTTGAAGGGGTTATTTTGATCCAAATCCTTTCTAGCTTTGAGGGGCCAGGAATGACATGTTATGGATTAGATCTAAAGTGCGCCCTCACAAGCTCATGTGTTAGGAGGTGGGGCATTTGGATAGAATGTGATAAGATTATGAAGATGCTGTACTCACCAATAGGTCCTTTCTCTAATGAGTTCAACAGCTGAATATACTGTGTGGAGATGGACGTCTGAGGGCATGAGTTGGAAGGCGCACTCTTGTCCCCAGTCCCTCCTCTCTTTTCTGCTTTCTTACTGCAATAAAAGCACTGACCTCCACCCTGGCCCTTTGGCCATGTGTTTTCTGCCTTGGATGAAGCCAAACATGCACTGGAAACTTTAGCTAACAAATCCTCTTCTTAGTTGTGATGTTGGATAATTTGTCCCACTGATAACACAGGAACTAAGACAGAACTAAAACCTAAAGGAGCAGAAAGGGAAAATTATTTTCTGTACACTTTCTCTGTAAACCTAAATCTGCATTAAAAATAGCCTATTGACAAAAACTAAACCTTTTTTTAGGCTTGTCTCCCTGCATTAAATATCTATATCCTTTCATTTACCAGGTTGATTTTTTGTTTTGTTTTGTCTTTTGGTACCAGGGATCAAACTTGGGCCCTTGTGCTTCCAAGGCAGGTGGCAATACCACTGAGTTAAATCTCCAGCCCTACCAGGTTGAGTTTTAAATTGCTTTTTTCTTAGGCCAGTGATTAACATAATGATTTTAGTTCTTTCTGTACTTCTTTGTGATTTGCAGTAATTTAAACTCAAAACTAAATGAAAGTTTATATTACCTATCTTCTAATTATAAGGCTCTGCCATTTCTGACAGTCCTTTGTCTTTATATTTTATTAATTGTGTAGGAATTCTCTGGCTTTTAATATTTGTGCTAGAAACCACTGTTGATGTTGGCTATTTGGCCACAATCTCTAGCCAGTAGGTAAGTCTTCTGTTCAATTTTCTCTAGATGTAGGACACCTCTAAATGTGCAGAAGATTATTTATCTGTTTGCCTAACATCATTGTACTCTCTAGGGTGGCTCTCCCTTTTTTCAAGATCTCCCATTTGCCTGACTGGAGGAGAGATCCCTGGTTCTGGATCTTGTTCAACCTGGATTTCTCTGAGAAATTGTATTCTAAGCAGACTGTATCTAGGAAAGACAATCTTAAACCTGTGGTTGAGAAGTTTGCTTAAAATTACTTGTTATTCCATTATTCATCCTTATCATATGCATGCAGATTTTGAAGTTGGGAGAGATATGGTATCAGGCTTTTTCTTTAAACAATTACCACCCTCATCTAACTGTTCTAGTTAGATCTGAAACTCTTTTTCCATGAGCTCAAAATCTGTTATATGGTAGGAAAACCATAGCTCTATGTATTTCTTTAATTGAGCATTTGTGCTTTTATTATAACTTCTTCAAATTTTTATTATTGATACTTAAATCAAAGCTTATAAAGTTCAAAAACCACTTCTCTTTAAATAGTTTTACACTTGAAATTGAAAAACAAGGCTTTCACATCTGTCAATCTCTGAAATATATAAAAAGATAAAAATGAAGAAACAAAACACAAAAAAACACTGGAGTATATGTGGTGTGTGTGAATGTGTGTGTTTATTATTTATATTTAAGGGCAGATAGGTTGAAAAGTGAAAGACAATAAGCCAACACAGCAGCACCAGAGGCAAGGCTTTATTCAGGGAAAGAACTGCCAGGACCCCTTGAACAATGGTAAGAGAGCGAGACTAACTGGGGTGATATTTAAAGAGGGCAGAGCAATGGGGAGAGTATCTTGAATGTTGAGAATTGGTAGGGTTGTTGGGCAGGCACCAGGATGCCAAGTGATTGGAAGTGGAGAATCACATGGGGAGCAGGGTAGAACAACAAGTTAGGCTTTGCTTCTCCAGAGAGGGTAGGTTTCACTTTTCCAAAACAGCTCATTTTTGTAAGTGGGAACCATTTTAGGAACGGGGGCCATTTTAGAATGTAGGACAGTTGGGGCCATTTTGTCTGGTAAAGTACTCTAACAAAAGGAAAGTGAATATTCATTCTTACCTTATGGTTCATAGTATATTCAACTAGAAAACTAAAATAGGAGAAAGATAAGGCAGTCTAAATGAGTTTTCAGCTATATTTTGTCCAAGTCAAGAGTATTAAAAATAAAACTGCTCCTTTTCTGTAAGTGTATAAATCAAATCCATTTTAACATGGTGACTGAAATGACTATGCCTTTTACATTTTCATCACAGTACATCCAAATCATTAAAACTTCATTATTTCATATTTAAATACAAGACTTAGATTTCCATGCTATGCAGAGAGAATCTATAGTGCATTCTACAGACTTAATACACAAGCAGGATGGTGTTTAATCTGTCCTTGTTCCACCACCAGAAAATAATTAGATATCAACAGAGAAGTAGTGAAGTGTAGCCATGTTTTTGAATTTGAGTTTCACTAATTCCCCTTTCTTCTTATATTTAATGTGATTTCAAATTCAAAGTAATTATATTTGGACAAGGTTCCTTGGTTAAAAGTGAAGCTGATTATAGCAAATTTAGTCTTCTAGGTACATGAAAGTGGTAAACAATTAGAACATAACATTTTATGTGTTTGTTTTCCTCAGAAAGTCACAATGACCTACATTTAATTATACAATATACAATATTAATAAGAAGTTTATAATTTATTCATTATGAAAAATCTCAAGAATTTCCAGGATTTCATTTAAGAAATGTAATATATTTTCACTGGATCATATTTTATGCCCTTAAATTTTCAGTTTTTCATCGAAATATTAAATGTTTCCTTATAAAGTGCGTGATACTTTACAATGGAAAGGATTGTAACATAAATAAGTGAATAATTTAATATCTTGAATGTTAATGAACTTGTGATTAGATTAAAGAAAAGTAGTGAAAGAAACTCTCAATATCATGTTGAGTTCTGTTAGATTTAGTGGGTGCTAAAAAATTGGGTAACAACTTTTTACAAATTAAATCCAATTCTATACACTTTATTAGAGGCAAGCATTTATATAATAGGAGAGCATGAATTCAAGTATTAGATAAGAGGTACAAGTATTAGATAAGGGGCTTGCTAGGTAGCTTTTAGTAAATATATTTTGGCTAATGTGGCATGTTTACTCTTACTAAAAGGAATATAGGTCTCTGTAAATATAATATTATCAAAAGCTTAGTCCACTTTAAAACATTTCTCTTTGATTCCTTTTGGTAACATGAGAGCCAAACTTTCATCCCACTCATGATAATAATTGCTATTCATCATGAGCTTAAACAACCTGAGGCCCTCCACCATGCCCACTTTCAATATAGGAGGTAAGAAGTACAAAAATGAAAACTTAAATAAACAAATATTAAAGAACATTTGATATTATTATAAAGAGTGACAAATATAAATTTGTGATATAATATGTTTAAGAAGGTCACTGGATACAGAATTTAAAAATCATTTTTATACTGTATCTATATATGCACAACTAAATTATATTTCTATGTACCAATAATTAAAAATGATGATACAAGGAAGACAATCTAAAATACCATTAAATACAATATGTTTCCTTAAAATCTAAAGCTAAAAGTGAGGCTTCAACATTAACAAAAATGAAACAGTTAATTTTTATACATTTATGATGCAAGAGACATCTAACATAATTATTGTCCTGAATATCCAATACTGTTGTTAGTAGTCACATAATCTCAATTTTCCAAGATCATCTAAGAAAAAATGTAGAACTACAAAGGACTGAAGGTAGGGAAAACAATTTAAAGACAAGAATATTTGGATGAACTTAAACTACCCAACATAAAAAAAAATAATTCATAGCAGTTAATTAACACAATATATCATAAGCATGCATAGTGATTAAGTGAACAAAATAGAGAATCCAGAAAAAGTTCTAAAGCTAAGAGATAACCTGTTTAATGATACTTGTAGTGTTGTATTTCAAAAAAGAAAACATTTTCAACAGGTTTTATTGAAATTTATTTGGCTCAATTTAACAAAATTATATCTTGACCAATATTGCATCATGATTAGAAATATATCTTAGAAGAACAAAAACCGATTAACAAAAGAAAAAAAAACTTTTAGAAAACTTAAAGATTGTCATTAGATAAGTTATTTTATAAACACCACAGATTTCTGAAACAAGACACAAGAAATGTTATTAACAAAGGAAGAAAAGCCAATTGTGTTGAAATTAAGTAATTCATGTGTTAAATGATACCAAAAGTGAGCTATAAAACAACACACCAAGTAATAGAAGACATTTACTATATATAAATATATACGTATATAGTTTAAGTCTCATATACATATACATAATGTTCATGAAAAAATAAAATCTATAAAAAATTTTACAAATAATGAAGATTAATTGAAAGTCCACAAGACAATTGGATCAAAAGCCCTGCAATGATTTCTACAGAACAACATATACATTTGACAAATATTACTTTTTGTGCTATTAAATTTTTGTACTACTACAGTGATTATGATAAAAACAGACAATCATTATCTAATGCATTTCCATATACACTTGGTGAAAGTTTCGACTGTCAGGAAATGTTGGGAACACAATTTTAAGTACTTATTAAAATGTGAAATGTACTCAGAATTTTTAATCTAGCCCTTGATATATGGTCAATTCAAGTAAGTATTAATTTTTACCAAGTATATGCTTTGGTACGTTTATGTATAATGTTGAGGATAATCCTAGATAAAATTCTGTGTGTATATTAATATTTAATATATATATATATATATATATATGTTCACCCTGTACATGTATTCATCAATATAAAATATGTGATAGAGTGAAATAAGGTACTTCCAGAAAAGCATGAGTGAGTATTGCAAATATTCTTAAAGCAAGTCACTCAGTCACTAAATATTATACTTGTCAAACTTCATTTATTGAAGTATAAAAATTGACAAAACTAGTTGAAATTTAGCAAGACTGCTATAATCATGAGAACAGTAGCACAGATTGTCTGCTTAATATATTGGGGATGATTTTCAGGTTAAGCTAAGTTTTGCTTTACAGCTTGGTGACTGTCATTCAGCTATGTTCCACTTGGTAAAATTCACCAGTGTAAGCCGGGTGTGGTTGTGCATGTCTATAATCCCAGCACTCGGGAGGCTGAGGCAGGAGGATCGCTGTGAGTTTGAGACCAGCCTGGGCTACATAGTGAGTTCCAGATCAATCTCAACTACATAGTGAGACCCTGTCTCAAAACAAACCAAACAAAAAATTCACCAGTGTATCTTCTTTTACGATTTACATACTTCTGTTTATAAATATATCACTTGGTTAAAATTTTAAGTTAATATTAACTAATTAATAAGTAAATAGCAAGAAAATGTTTAAGGGTAACTAGGAAAAAGAGTATGAG